GTTTATATGAGTACAATAATTTAAAAGAAGCTGTTAGGTATTATTTAAAACTAGACTGACTATGCAATATTATTTTCGTCTGACTTGAAAAAAATGAATTGTATATTTTAAACCATGCATTGTCCAAGATTAAGGAAAAAGAACATAATATAAATAAAATCCTTACTATTATATTGTGTTGCAGCATCACCTATTAGAAAACTTACACCCTGCCTTCTATTTTTCTCTCAGTTGTGTATTTATGCAAAAATGGGTATGTTTTCTTTATATTTGACTACATTTTCTTTAGTATTCTGAAAGGGGAACAATAGTAAGTGAACTGATCCATTAGGATCACGGGCCTACTTTAATTGTCAACTATAATAATTTGTTTTAGTTGAGCCTGTGTTGGTTTATTACAATCAGTGTCTATCCATCAGTAAAATGAAATTTCATAATTATGTGAATGGCATTTCCCAGCAGGGAACTGGTCATTGTCAATAATAATGAAGTCTCTTGTCTTATGATTAATAATTGGTAATGTTGAGTAAAAGATTCATGAATAGAATTTTGAAGATTGAATTAGCAGCTATTCCTTCTTGTTAGATATTATATACTACTTGCAATCACAAATCACACATTTAAATTTTTCCTAGAAGAGATTGCATAATGTGGTGCTATTTTTCTGTGCACTTTCATTGGGCTGTTATGCTTCCAGACTCTTCTCATTTTTCAGTGTGGGAAATGTTTTCCCCCCGCATAAGTGATAGGGATTCCTGTAAAATGTGGGTTTGAAGAATGCTTCCACTGTCCAGGAAATCAAACTTCCTTATTCAGAGCCTGTTCTGTAAGGCTGTCTCGCTTCCTCAAAAATTAAAAATGAGAACGTGTGCTCATGGTCATATTATATATATTTGAAAGGAACTGAAAGATGTTATTTAGCTACTGTGGGGAATAATGATTTCATATCTTCAGAATACGTTTTATAACAAGTGTTATGCACTCTAAGCTGCCACCAATGGAAAGGCATTATCTGAGGTAGCACCAGGAAAGAACAGTGTGACTAATTAAAATGTAACTTACACTAACATGAGAGATGTTCAAATGTGAAAAAATGTGTATTTTTTAATTGATGCAATATAGTATTGTTTCTCCATTCAAGCAACTATTTAGACAGAAACCATATGTACTGGTAGTTGTCAACACTTGGGTTTTTTGTCAAGTTTAAAATCATCATAATTGAGTTAGTTAATATGAATTAATTCTTTCAATATCTTTTTCAGTGAAGAAAACAAAAATATACACTTTTAAAAGCCTTACCAACTCAGTGATTCTTTTATTTATTTATTTTTATTGATTTCAGAGAGAAGGGGAGAGGGAGAGAGAGATAGAAACATCAATGAGGAGAGACTCATTGATTGGCTGCCTTCTGCATGCCACACTGGCGATTGAGCCTCCAATCTAGGCATGTGCCCTGACCGGGAATTGAACTGTGACCTCCTGATTTATAAGTTGAGGCTCAACTACTGAGCCACGCTGACCCGGCTCAGTGATTCTTTTTATTTAATACTCTGCAGTGTAAATATACTGTTTGTTCAGACTGCTTTCCTAGATATTAGATTCTTCAACCAAGAATAGAAATAATACCTAATTTAGATTACAGTGATATATCAAAATATGTTTATTCATGTGTTCTTCTAGAAGGAAGGTAATAAACAAAAGGAAAACAAGGTTTTACATATGATATGAAAAGATTATATTAAATTTTCCTCTTATAGCTAAGAAATGGTTGTTGAAACATTATTTCTTATTCAAGTTTGTTTATAAAGCCAGTAACACTCCTGAATCACTTTTAAAAGGATGCAAATAAATGCTTCATTCAATTGCCTGAACAAGTATGTTTGGGGCATTCACTGCTAATATAGCTCATTGGTAATTTAATCTTGTAAAATATTTTTAATTACATTAAAATATATAAACATCTTCTATCTAATCAATATTAATCTTCCATGGTCTGGCTTTAAAAACTGGAAGGCCAATGAACAGTGTCATTTTCTTATTTTGCAATGGATACATAATAAATGAAATGCAACATTTTTATATCCTAGATAGGCTTTTTGGTGTTTTTCCAATTCTCAAGTTATACTTTTATCTAATTTATAGCACAGACCTTCATTTTATTTTAAATAAGCAAATGACGAGTTATTGCTTCATGAATATGAAGAGGGTATTTAACTGCTATTTCATTCTTGTTAGAATTTCTTTTTAGAAGAGATTTGTGCATGTAAACAAGTTTTCTTAAAAGAAAAACTTCTGTTTTGGAGACCTGGAAACCTTTGCTTTATGGTCCTAGAATTTGGGGAATTGGGGGTAGTTTTCAAGTTGTATTACTTGCCCTCCAAAAAGCATTATTAATTCAACTTATTCGGACCAGATCTGGAATAACTTTATTAAAAAAGAAAACAACCTTCAGAGAAAAGCATAGTTGTGCAATCATTTTTGAATGCTCCATTTCCATGTATGTACCAAGAAGATACTGTAAAGTCTCTGAATTTGTGATTTCTAGAAAGATTTGAATTCTTTGTTGAGTCACACTGAGGCTGCTATTTTGACACCTTCCCTACTTCCCCTCCACCTTCAAGCACCTATATCCATGGCGTTTCCCTCCAGCTGTAGACCGCCCAGGACCTAGTGAGTGGCCCACTGTCTGTGACCCCTCAGCAGCAATTGCTTGGCTCCACTCCCCAGACTAGCTCTCCGTGTCACGCAACATTGCAAATCTTATAATTATTCAAAATCATTTCTATAGATGGGTTGCCATCATAATAATGAATGTTTTATGGTACATTCTATGTGCTAGGACTATTCTTAGAAGTTTATACACACAACACAAACACACACACACACACACACACACACACACACGGTGGGGCAAAAGTAGGCTTACACTTGTGAGTATGTGAAACACAGAGTTTATTAAATCATTATTGTAGTATTTTCCCTATGAGCAACTGAAACCTACTTTTGGCCTGCCCTTTATCTTGATATATATGCACAGATACCTCAGAACAACCAAACAAATAGAACCATTATATTCCAATTTTACAGATAAAGGAAAATGAAACATTTAGAGGTTAAATAGCTTGCCCAAGATTACACAGTCAGTAAGAGGTGGGATTGGGGACCCAGGACACTAACTAAGTGGTCTCCTTTATGGCAGACAATTATGGTGGCAAGAAAAACTCTGGGAATTTCCTTTATGAACATTTAATTTAAATGACTTGGCTTAGGAGCACTTAGCCTGCTCAAAACAAGTGTAAGTAAAGAAGAATTACAAATGTTAACTAATAGAAAGTGACATCACAATTGCTAATTTTGGTTGCCAATAAGCACCAGTGAATTACAAATATAGGCTGGTAAGGAATATGCAAGATTCTGAAATAAGTTAAAATTTTTCATTTACATTTATAATATATTAAAGCCACTAGAAAAATGTCATATTAATTAAGAAAATTATTACAACGATTTAAATTTAACTGAAATCCAGAAGACTAAGCCATACTAACCTCCTATTAATGCATATTCAATTAATTCCATAGTCATATTAATAATCCTACTAGCATTCAAGTCATATTAATAATCCTACTAATGTTCAATAATCCTACTAACATTCTCTCCATGAAGGTCAAATATCTGGATAAACCTGACTGACTGTTGTCACCGTTAAGTGTTAGAAGAGTTCTTTTAACCATATCCTAGGTAGATAGATGAAATTATGTATGCAGTATTGAGAAAATTAAAAATGCATTAAGAATAGTATGAGATTATTTGTTAAATGACTGCTTTGTTTTTTTATATTTAAAATTTTGTTATACTTTAAAATGTTATATAATTGAGACATTTTAAAATCAAAACTAGCCCTAGTTTGTTTGGCTCAGTGGATAGAGCATCGGCTGTTGACTTAAGGGACCCAGTTGGATTCTGGTCAAGGGTATGTACCTTAGTTGCAGGCTCCCAGCCCTGGTTGGGGGGCATGCTGGAGGCAACCAATCAATGTGTCTCTCTCATATCAGTGTTTCTCTCTTTCTCTCCTTCTCCCTTCCACTCTGTCTAAAATTCAAGGAAAAAAATATCCTCGGGTAAAGATTAAAATATTTTTTTAAAAAGAACATAAAAAAGCAAGAAAATCCCTATTGTAATATCAGAAGATAAGTTAGTAGTCTTAAACTGGCATAGAATCATCCCACCATCCCCTTGTCCCCAAGGTCCACTTGTCCTCTCACAGGTAAAATCTCATGCATCTCCATAAATCCTGAAGACATAGACAACATTCAGCTCTTAGGTTTGTAGCAAACAATCATTTCATTGTTTGCTTTTCAAAGACAGTAATAAAGCTTATAAGTTGTTTTTTTTTTCCCCAGCTACGTGTAAAATTTACACTTTCAGATTTTGGGCAAACCATTTCTTAGCTTGACCCTGAAAGTGTAGATAGCAGGGTTTCAGGCCAGATAACAGGCAAATCATTCTGTCAGTAAACAAGAGAAGCTCCTTCTGCAAACATTTTATTATTGGCTCTGAGGTACATGTGGAGGACAGAGAAGTTTCAGAAATGCTAGGACAAAGATAAAAACAAAAAGTAGAATCCTTTCTGATAGTTACTAATTTTTCTGGGCCTGTGTCTGAATTTCTGATTGCCCAGCAGTATATGGAGATATGCATAGGACATTGCTTCTTATGTCATTCTCTGTACACTCTACCCCCGTTTTTGGTAACCATGGCAACAGGTCACACACAGGTAAATGCACAGAATGTAGAGCTCCCTGTTAGTGGCCACAACTAACTTCTCATAAGCTGAAAAGGGAATTAAAAATATGAGATTCAGTAACTGGGGTGAGCTCTTGGGGCTGGGGTATGGTGGACACTGGAGTGGAGACATGGATGGACCAACATATACACAATGTGCATCTGACCTCAGTGACATTAATTTCCAAGCTGTTCAGGTACCAAGAAAGGAGGCTTACCCGGGCCTTCTGCTCCATTTCTAGCATTAATCTTTCATGTTGCTCAGCTATGGCAAGTGTTGCAGAATGGACCTTCTGATAGATCATTTCTCCTTCCCTTGTTTGAAAAGTGAATAGTCCTTCACCCGTGTCACACATTCTGTGAGAACAGAGACAGGGAAAGAGATGGGTCTTCATGTGTTCAAGTGCATAACAGTTCTCCATGTGAAAGACACCTTTGCCCTGTGTCCTATTAATTCCATAATCATATTAATAATTCTGCTAATGTTCTGCCTTGACTTTCACAGGAGACAGTGAAGCAGGTTCATCCTCAACCAAACCAACCAGCCAACCCACCAACACATCTTTCCAGAACACAGCTTTGGGCAAAAATATATGTACATATATTTGGAGTTTTAGATGAAGTGTTCACAACACTGTAAAGAAACAGATAAAAGGGATTTGGATTATTGCAATGTATAAATAATAAAACAAATAGTTATTTTTAGAGTATTTTCACATTTGTGATATCATAACTCTACCTCCTATGACTTGATAGCTCTTGAAATGGAAACAACTTAAGAAAAAGCTGCAATTGCATATTCAATGCAGTGGAACCAATGAAAAGACTATAAAATTTTAGTTTATGAATTTGCATACATAGGCTGAGGCTTTTATTTAGATGGAGTTATCTTTATGTAAATCTTGGTAGAGCGTAGGAAATGACTTGGCATAAAGGAGACTCTATTATATTTGGTTTGAATTTTAGCTCTGCCACTTACCAGGGTGACCTTGGGCAAGGTGAATGACTTGCCTGTACATCCTTTCCACACATCTAACATAAGAAAAACATAGTTCCTATCTCAAAAGAGTCTTATGACAGTTAAAAGACTTGGTATGCAAAATGTTAAGTGCTCAAAAATGTTAGCTGTTACTATTTTTATCATACAGTATGGGACTAATCTCACTATCCACTGTAAAGAAATGGTTGGCTTAATTATACTATTTTTATCTGATAGACCAGTAGGCAGCTATTTCTATGTCATTTCTAAGAGCATATAATGCATTAGAAATTCTTATTACATAAATTTAAGAGGAAAATCAGAATACAATTTATTTTTAAATTATAATTAACTTTTTAAAACATAATTTTTATTGGAATAAAGCCAGTGACAATTTGTTAGGCAACAGGACTATAGGTAAATATAATTAACAAAGAGTAACTATAAAATGGACAGTATTTTTTTAAAAATATATTTTATTGATTTTGTACAGAGAGGAAGGGAGAGAGATAGAGAGTTAGAAACATCGATGAGAGTCATCGATCAGCTGCCTCTTGCACACCCCCTACTGGGGATATGCCCGCAACCAAAGTACATGTCCTTGACCAGAACCGAACCCGGGACCCTTCAGTCCCCAAGCCGACGCTCTATCCATTGAGCCAAACCGGTCTCGGCTGGACAGTATTTTGTTGCTATTTTAGGCCAGCTTTTAAAAATCATTGGAGGCCTTGAGAAAAACTATCAGTATGATGTTACCACTCAGATGTTGGACATTAACTGGATTGCTGTGCTGCTGGTTTTCAGTTTATAACAACTTTGCACAAAATGTTCATGAGGCCAAACCATGTCTTCCAGCACCAAAACGATTTCAGGATCTTTGCAATGATTCTCCAAGGAGTTTTCAGTAGAAAAGAAAGGTCTCAAGAGGCTTCAGACTTTCCAGAGGCTGTGACTGCCATCCCTTATGGCCCCATAGAACCAGCTCCTACCTTCTGTGAGAGAGATCTCAATAAAATTCACACACCGTGAAATGGAAAGTCTGGTGAAAGGGGGGAAGAGGGGAGGAGGAATGAAGAGTTTTCACAAAGTGAGACTAATGAGCTTTCTTTGTTGATTCAGAGAATAAAGCAATCCAACAGCAAGGGCAGGAAAACCAGTGATAGGTAGTGAACACATTTTGTTTGAGGTGGGGTTTTGTTCACTGTCATCTGAAAAACACTGCTTATGAGCTTTCGGAAATGAGAGCATGAAGACACAAATCACTGTTTCATACTCTGCCACTGAACATATCTACTTCCGGGGACTTCATTCTGCCCAATGAGAGAATTTAAAACCTTACAGAAGGTCAGAAGGTTTTTTTTTTTTTTTTTTTTTTCCAACCTCTGAAATAAAAACAACTGTATACTTTATCCTTTGATCAAGTGTAAGGAACTCAAACATGCTGGCATTATAAAGCAAATACACTTTAGGTGGAAGTGCTTGCTCTTCAGTATAGGTACCTAAAGCTGAGCTGAAGTCAAAATTCTCCAGAAACTAATTCAAAAGGATATTGAATGTAAACTATAATTGAAAAAAAATAATTAAGAAATGCTTTAAAAAAATTCTTCAGTAAAATTGGCTTATTTATAACTTTTGTCGGCAGGGTCACCCATTGACCTCTTATCTACAAAATGGGGCAACGGAACTTTGTCACAGGATTGTTCTTTTAAGATGTAAAGTGTGTGGCAGTGGGATGGGAAGGACTAGTTCAGCAGGCCTGGGTTGTTCAAACCCTGCACGTGTTTGGATGGTTCCTTAGCTGACTTCTAGACTGTAGCCTCTGAGCCCCTGGAATATTCAGCTTGATGAGAGCATTTTGTGTACCGGAGGCCTTGACCCATGCTACCCCAGTGTGACCAAATGAGCCTATCCTAATATGTGACTTCCAGGGAAGGCCTGCTTTGCTCTGTGGGAGTCTGAGTAGCAGAGACCCATCTTGAGGACACTGCTTGCCTGTAGGACTGACCTTCAGTAGAATGCTGGGCACCAAGGCTTGATTGACAACCTTTTCCATGTGTTTTCACACATCATTGCTGTGAGAATTAAGTGTGCCCATGTGACTGCCCTGGGAGGGGACACTGGAAGCTTGATGTAGTCTTTCCTGGTCCATATCCCTTTGCCTTTTCCCTGTGCTAATTTTACTCTCCATCTTTCACTATCATCAATCACAACTATCACATTTCCGGAATCTTTCTAGAGAATCGTTGAGCCTGAGGGTGGCCGTAGGGAGCCCTCCACAGCCAGCATGTGGTAGGTGGTCAATTTATTTTTGAATGAGTCTAAAAAATGTCCTAGTTTTCTCTGAAGTAGATCTTTTTCAAATTCCATTCTTCTTGGGATGTAAGAGGGTATCCTCTATTTCCCCCTACTACTCACTTCCAGAATCACTTGAAGTGATAGTATCATCTGTCTTATCTCTGTTATGTTCTAATAAATAAGGGACAGCAGAGTTCATGTGAATGCATGTATTCACAGGAAACTGAACTGCAAACGAGGCGCTTGTGCATGGTTTTCATAGTTGTTCTAGGGATGATTTCACTGCACAAGATGCCCTACCAGGTACCAGCTACTCTACTGCCCTCCTTTCTGAACTGTGTATGCCTCAACTCAAACCTAGAGCTTTAGAAGAGATGGCTTCAGAATTCCAGTCTTTCTTCCAAATGACAAACGGAAGAAATTTATCAAGTCAAAAGTTAAAGAAACACTTTACTTTTAAAAAGTAAAAGTGGATACTTTAAAATCATTCTCTGAGGGTCTTTAGATAAACGCTGGCATACAGACGAATCTGAAGACCTTTGGCGATTTTGTCCATCTTCACAGCTGTTTAGATTCATTCTCATTAAATGTTAGGCAATTTGCTATATATCAATATTTAATGTCCAAATATTGATCCCCATGCTTACAGACACTTTAAACTCTTAGCAATGAAGTTGAACAGGAGCACTTTCCAGAAAACCCAGTGGTATTTCTATTCAGTATTTAAAATTTAATGTTTAATTATCGAAAGTAATGAAATTCTTAAAAGCACAGTTTTTCTGCAGAGCAGTTAAAACCAATTAGCTCTTTTATTCTGTTAACAGTTTAATCTTTAGCATCATTTAACGATACTAGCAGTTTACTATTTTTTAAAGCAGCTCTGAAAAGGCGGAAGTTTCTCCAGAAGAGCTCCGGTGAGTCAGACTCTGACCCATGGCAACCAACTGAAGGCAAAATGTGCAATGACTGAGACGCTTCACTTCTTCAATCTGACCTTTCCTCCTTCTTTCCTTTTGATTCCAACTAGCCTCACCTAGCACCTTAACTTACCCACTTCCTTCTCCCTTGCATTACCTTAATCATTAGGCCCCTAGGACAATAAAGTTCTGATCTGAATCTGATAATATTAGGAACAAAGTCTTGGGCCTGTTGACCCCAGACAGTTTCTGTCAAACTAGAGACAACATCTAGGCCTCAGCTGTGTTTTAGCTTCAGGCCCTGAAAAGTGGTGAAACCAGACGAAGCTAGGCCATGGCGGGCAATCAGGACCAGATGCAATGAGTGACTACCGCCTATCCTATAGCCAACCAATCAGAGAACAAGCCCATAACCTTCACCTTAACTCCCTTAGTCACCATGAAAATGATCCTCCTCCCCATCCCCTTAACCCTCATCCCCAATAGGTATAGTAATAATTAATGTCGTTTTCTAATACTTTTTTAAATCAAATTTATTTAAACAATACAACAAAACTTAATCAACAATATAGTTGCCGTTGTTTTCTACTACTTGTGCCCAATGCTCAGGAAGCATTTTAATCCCTCTGTTGTAAAATTCTTGTGATTTTGATGCAAAAAATTCGGTCAATGCATTTTTGAGGCATTCTTCATTATTAAATTTTTTTCCAAGAAGAAAGTTTTGCAAAGAACGAAACAAATGGTAATCGGAAGGGGCAATATCAGAATATGCAGGTTGAGGGAGAACTTCCCATTCCAACTGACGCAGTTTTTCAGCAGTGATTCTTGCAGTATGCAGTCGTGCGTTATCGTGGTGAAGAATTATGCCCTTCCAATTAATCAGCGCAGGTTCTTTTTCTCTTAAAGCTTGGGCTAACCTTTCCAATTGGGCACTATACAGTGCACTTGTAATGGTTTGGTTAGATGGTAAAAGTTCTTAATGAAGAATTCCTTTAAAATTCCACCAAACACACAACATCACTTTTTTCGCATGCAAGTCAGGTTTTGGCGTGGGCTGCGGAGTCTCATTTTTGTCCAACCATTGAGGCCGCCTTTTCAAATTAACATACAGCACCCATTGTTCATCTCCGGTAACAATTTGCTCTAAAAACGGCAAACGGTTTTGA